GTTTGACCCAAATGGCTACAGCTCCGTCCTTTTTCATCGTAAGATAATCTGAGTTAAAACTCTGGCATGAAAGACTTCAAGGAGTGGAATCGTGCTTCCATTCCAGGAGTGCACCTGAGTAGGCAGGAAGTGGCAAGATCAAATGTAATCACTGAACAAAACAGGCATAGCAGATAATAATTTAGTCGTCCTGATTGCTCAGCGACATCAGAATCGATCCGTTATGCTAACATATGCTAACATCCATATTATCTCCTGTAAACACAGCGAGAAGACTTCACGTCTTCTGTGGGTTGTTTCAGGGTCACACTGGAGTCTGATGGGCGTTGCATTCAAAATATGGTGTGAACGACCACACACACACACACACACACACACACACACACACACACACACACACACACACACAGGTCTTCGTCGGTGGGCAATGTTGTTGTTAGTTATCTTAGAGACGGTTCAGGCTTTGTTGAGCCAGCTACCACAAATTAAGTCCAGCTGGGTTGAATTGGCTTCATAATACACCCCTCTGGTCTCACAGCGGGAGGCATTACTCTGTAACAAGTAAACACCATAAATGGAATTGTGTCTTATTTATATTCAGCTCTGGATGGAATAAGGCTGTCCATGTATACGTAACAGGTAAGATAGTTGAGGATGCTTTGGGTTGGTAAACGTCGATGTCAGGGTAACTGACTCGGGCTGTTTGCTCAGTATTTTTGAGGTGTGGCGTACTATCATCCTTCTGAATGGGCCACTGAATATCTGTACACAAGTAAATACTAGTTTACAAATCAGCCACAGCCAGGCTGTGTGTCGTGCTGCTTCCATGGCTACATAAACACACAGATGACCTCATCATCAAAACACTGTTTTCATTAGAGAGGCTGTAACTCATTCATATTGTTGAAGCATATTAAAAAACCTGTTGTACATGTTCAGGGAAAAAAAGAATGTGAGCTCTGATTGGCTGCCATTTAAATGGTTTCTGTGTGAATTTACACAACATAACATCACTAAATAAGTTTAATGATTTAATTTCCTGAAGGGAGTTTTTTATTATTTTTACTACTTGGGGCCTCAAGTTCAAGAAATGTTTTCTCAAAAACACACCTTGATTTATGACAAGAGAAAAGATTTTAAAATCTCAGAGACTCTGTGTCGTAAGGAAACAGACTGTCAGATAAAATATCAGACAACAATCTTTTACCAGAAAAAAAATGTCAGAGTTGGGAAAAATAATTCAGTTTGTGCTTCGGAGTTTCAGAAGAAGTGAGCTCTGCATAGCAACCTGCAGCAGTCACAGGTTGGACAGAGAGAGGGAATCTCAGGTATGTGTTAACAATCTGTGTGAAAATACAGGTTTTATGACCCAACGTGAAACAGCCAAACAGATTTCATTACAAATAACGTATGTTTGTCAAATTACAAAAACTTCACATTAAAAGAATTTCCAAACTGTCTCTCCAGCATGATTTAAAGGCAAAAAAGTTTTTTTTGTTGTTGTTTTTGGAGAGCGTGTGTGTGTGTGCTTGTTTTTACTACAGAGTGAGGACCATTTGCACCATAGTTACTATCAAAGTGAGGTCTTTGATATAAATTAAGGACCGCTTCAATGTCCTCACTTTGTTTGCAGCTCTGTGCTTTACTAGTTAGTATGTCGTGAATTAAGTTCTGGTTCAGGTTAGGGTTAGCTATAAATCAGTAATGGTTAATTTTAGGGAAAATATCTGAGGTAGGCATAAATACAGTTACAAAAATGAATGGAAGTCAATACAAACGTCCTCAGTTTAATGCAAATACAAGGATGTGTGTGCGGGGGGTTCTCACAAATCAAAAATGTTCCAAACTCATTATCCTTATTTGGGCAACAGTCTGCCCACTAAATAAATTGGTGTCGTGTCAGTTTGGATGGATCCAGTGTTGACACAGCACCTTCGAAACACACAAAGTCATAACTCGTGCTGTCCCACTGAACGCCGCCTTGTGCCGCTCACAGAAACCTGCAGAGTGTGTAGCAGCAGCAGCAGCAGCAGGGAAAGAGTTTAGCTTTGTTAAAAGGCCGACCTGAACGTTTGCATGAAACCGCAGTGAAAGCTGGAGGTCAGAAACCGACCTCGCCCTTTATCTCCTGCAGCTCAGGGAGGAGAGCGGAGATGGAGCCCGTGATTAACGGGAGTCAGGAATGAGGAAGTTTTAAGAGAAACTTATCGAAAAACGTGTCGACGAGAAGTGTCAGCGGGGCGTTCTGTAGGAATGATCAGCCGCTGTTATCTACAGCACGAGGAATTAGCTTCCCCTGTTGTTGATATGTAGGATTAATAATTTAAAGACACAGGTGGTTTTAAATATTTAAGTCACCTGTGGTGAAGGGTTGGGGGTTAGATTTCCAGCTAGACGTGTCCCTGTGCGGCACACAGAACCCACCCACTTCCCACTAATACGCTTGACAAGGTTATAAAAGTACTTTATACCTAATCCATCCATTTTCTTTACCTTCTTTCTGGGTCATGGGGGTCACCGGTACTCATGCTCAGAAGTCACTATGCGAGAGGCGAAGGACACCCTGTGGATCGCAAGTCCATCACAGAGAAGCGTAGAGATAAACAACCATTCAGACTGTCACTAACCCTAACCATAGGGACAATATAGAATACAGTACCACTGAATGTGCAAACTCCACTCAGACAGGCCTGAGACCACTGTAATCACTGTACCACCGTGCCACATGTGACAGGTGAAGCCACAGCACTGTTACCTGATCAATAATTTAGAATCACCAACACAGACCCCGCGTGCGACCAGGTTCCCACGAGTCCGTTCATGTTCTACAAATAGCGCTGATCAGCAGCGCAGCTGTAATGTCCCTCAACTTTGAAAAAAGTAACCAGAGTAGTTTGTAAACTCAAATCCAGACAGAATCAGCTGCTGTACAGGTCCTGCTGCTCTCACACACCGTATTTCAGACAGTCCAGTTCAGGAGCATTAACCCTTAAGGGCCCAGATAATAATCAATCTTTAAAATGTGATAAATAAATTATTTTCAGTGACTGACAGGAAGTTTTTTTGATAGTTGCATAATTGCATTTTATAAATGTTATCCTTTATATCTACAAGAGAGTTCTAATTCTTAGAAAGGACATGATTTGAGGTTTTTACTGATAATATTTTATT